GCTGAGCAGCCGCCAACCAGCGCCGCGGGAGGGGACTGGGGGACGCCGAGCCGCTTCCGCCCCGCCTCCCCGGCGGGACATTTAAATGACTCGCAAGAAGGGGCGCGAGCGAGAGGCCGAGGAGGGGACGATGGGGGTGTCTTTTAACAAACGCCCATCCCATAAACAGCAGCAGTTCATTCCTTTTCGGGAGGCTGAAAGCAAGACAGAATCTGAAGATTTGGGGGGGGGGGAGAGAAAGGGTTCCGGAGATTATAGAAACCAGACCCACGGAGGAAGAAGAAAAAAGGAGCGAAATGAATCTAAAGCCCTAATAATCCTTTCTTGGGAGCAAATTCGGAGTAAACCGTTGGGGATTAGGAAAGAACGTCCAAAAATATGAACACCGGAGAAATCTAGGACATACTAAAGGAGAAATCTGCCATGCCCATAACATGGATGTCTGCACTTATAAGAAATTAAAATTTAAAAATGTCTTTACACAGAGACATGTAATGGAGGAGCCCTGCGGTTAATCTGCTATATACAGAATGTAGAGAAAGCATTGGATCAAAAAAAAGTACAGCAGGTATGCAGATTCATTTTTAGGGTTTGTTTACAGTGCCTGGTTTATTTAAAAAAACAAAAACCCATGAAGCCAGAGAAGCTTCTAACCCAACCTGCTATAAATGCTGGTGCTACCACTCCCACCACCTCACATCTTGTCCATCCATCTTGCTGTTACAATTGTGCTGGAGAAGAGACATCCTCCCCAGCTAAATCGTGTCCCCAAAAGTCTGCACAATACCTGTTTGGTGGGTGGTGTGGTGCCACCTGAGGTCATGTTTGCCACTACAGCCTCCAACCCCCACAGCCCATTGCCAGCAGGTGCTCTTGGGTCCCAAAAGATTGGACTTCCCTGCCCTAAACAACATGATTCTGAATTAGACTGGTATTGATGCTAATTTCAGTTTCATTAATAAAAACAGAACTGCTTGAATAACTAACTGAAGTGTATTTCCCTGGGTATCCCAATACAGTACTAAGCTTTCGGCTACCCTGGAATTATGAAGAATCATGACTAGAAGCCTTGCTTCTCCAAGTTTCCTCAACCCTGACTGATCCAAAATATTCTCTCTCTTTTTTGCAACATGATTCAACACACTGCCTCTCATCCACAAGAAACTGCAGGATCTGCATGTCCAAATCAACCTTGAAGTCCCCTTAAATTATGTCCCATTACTTTCAGGGGACTGTTCTCTCTGAGACAGCCTAAATCCAGATTCTGGCACCAAAGTCTGTTTTGCTCTCAAGCCAATCACAGTCAATATATCAATGGATACAAAACTGGGGATGTTGCTCCCTATGGGTTAATTGGAAGTATAGTCCCCCAGGTTTTTACTATGAAAAACTGTAAATATATATATATACCCCCAAAACAAAGTCCAGCAATTTTCTTGTTTAAAAGCCCAATTTCTTATCTTTATTGAGCCTCTTTACTCCATCCCAAATATTTCTTCTTCTTTAATCACTCTGGAGCAACAGTTCTGGGTACTCACAAATTATGTTGTCTCAAAGGTAGAGTCTCAAACTCCCAGATAAGGTTGCAACTAGAATATGAGCTGGAGCTTGTTGAGGGCATTCCTTGGTCACCTTGCAGAGGAACGCAACTTTGCACTTGTTTTTCTTGAGCAGCTGTTTCCTTCCTAGGCAAAGAATGTTGCTTTTGAAACTGTAAAAAGTCTAAAACTGTTTACAGTTTCAGAAGCAACATCCTTTGAATATGAAACAGGACCAAGGCCAACATCTGTTGAAAGAGGGAGACAGGGTTCCACTATGTTGCTTCCAGTTACTGTATTTTGTATAAACCTAAACAACAGTATGGACAACAGGGACAGGGTTCCACTATGTTGCTTCCAGTTATTTTGTATAAACCTAAGCAACAGTATGGACAACAGTTAGGAAGTACTTGAGAACACATTAATGCAGGATACATCAATAGATGTCTTTGTATATTCAAACTCCTTTTCTGTCCTATTTTTATGGAATATGCCGTTGTGCTTTCCTCATCTGTGGCTAAAATGTTTTTCATTCCGCAGCAAACTGAAGCTGAATCAAACCTATGTTGTCTAGAGCAGTTCTTCTCAAACTTGGGCCCCCAGATGTTCTTGGACTACAATTCCCAGAAATCTTGGCCAGCACAACTGGGGTTTTTAGTCCAAGAACATCTGGGGACCCAAGGTTGGGAATCACTGGTCTAGGGTTTAGCCTAAAATCTTTCAATTTCTAGAGACTGAAATTGGACTTTGAACAAGCCAGGCACACAATGTGCTATTAAATGTTGTTCAAAGTGATACAAATTTATTTTTTGTTCCACCTACTGAAGGTTCACCCATTGGACTCCTTCAAGCCCTGCCCATCAGACTCATTCCCATCTTCTTCTTAGGCACCCTTCAGTCTCGAAAGATTATGATAACGTGCTCTGTATGAGTGTCTTCTACAGAGCATGAAGCCGAGTAGAATAATATGGAGGCTAGGCTGTTACCCAAACAGCAAATCTCCCCTCTCCACGTCACAATGGAAAGGCGAGAGCCAATACAACTGGTTCCAGCGACATCACAGGAGTTGGCAGAACAACACGAACTGCCTCCGGGACTCCGGCTCCAGATTTTGCCTCGAGATTTACTCCTGAAGCCTTTCCATCCGTGGATATAGCCACAAGGCAGTGGAGGTTTGAAATCGGAGTTTTCCTTCTCCTAGGTGGGCTGCCTTCCAAGGCTGATGAGCCCCACCTACCTGGTCATTCCCATCAATGTTTGGCATTCTGTTTTCAAGTCTTATTTTGCAAGAGTTCTTACCCACTTCACTTGGGCAATCCATATCCTGAAGGATGGATGGAAAACTTCAGCAGGTCTGGGGTCTATGTCCACCCTCTCTTGGAATTGGATGAGTTATATCCATTCTAGTCCCATTCTAGCCCCACTTCAGCATGGAAATGGCCAGTGAGGCCCTTAATTGGCATGACAATGGCCAGTGAAACTCCTCCAAGACTGCAAGGGCCTGTTTAAGCACTGTTTCTGCTCCCTGGATCTGTTTAAGACCTCAAACAGACATTTTACAAAAATGAAATGAGCTGGCTGCAGTAGCATACCGTAGATATTATTTATTTATTTGAAATATTGCTATCCTGCCTTTCTCCCCAAAAGGACCCAAGAAGAACTAGTCTCCAGCTACTGTTTGCAAACTTTTAATCATAAATTGGGAACAAGAGCTTGGGCAGGTTCTTTTTTCTTTTTTTCTTCTTTTTCTTTTTTGGACCACAACTCTCAGAATGAATTCTCGGGCTAGCTGAGGAGTACATTTTGAGTGTTGTAATCCAAATGGGTAATATTTCTAGACAGAATGAAGACAGAGCATAGTATTTACCACCACCCCACACACACAGCATGAAATGCCCAGATTGTCCTGTCCCAAGCTGGGCTGTCTGTCTCCAGAGGCTTTGGACAGCAACTCTTAGCCATCCTCATCCAACTCCTACAGCAAGTTCTTGATTGCATGTAGATTTGAAGGTCCAGCCCTAAAAAGAGACTTAAAATGGAATGCATGGGTTTGATGAAATGGGTTGCTGTCCAGAAAAGCTTGTTCCAAATAAAACAGGTTATTTGCATGACCCATTTTAAGTTAATGGAAACAGCCTTCTGGGCTGAAAAATGCCTTTTTAGGCTCACAAAAAAGGTACAAACAAGGCAGAATGTGAACTGATGGCTTTGATACCTCTCTCTCATGTGGAATCTGCAAAACGCCATCTTGCCTTGTTAATGGTCTGTTTTTGAAAGCAACGGGTGTCACACCAGGTCCAAATTTTGGACTGCTTGTCTCAACTCCGAATTTTATTATTATCTTTGTTTTATGAAAAGTCCTAGAAAACTCGGAAATTCGCCTTGTTTGCCTCCTTTTGGGATCCAGTCATAATGTTTCCCAGTCCAGCCCTTTGTTCACATGGCTACTTATTCTAGTAACTTAAATGGCGATTCTGTGTAAATATGCATAGAATTGCGCTGACAAGCTTCTGTGATTGCATTCTGATCCCTGAACAAATCAGGATGGCAGCAGATAATTCAACCTTCCACCCCTCCTTCCAAAAAAAACCCTTCCTGTACTCATATAATGACATTCAGCTGGCTAATTCAAGGTGATAAGGACTTGATTCCTATTTCCGGGGAGGGGGGGATTCCTTGCCTTTCCAACTCTCTCTCTCTCTCTCTCCAAACGAAAACTTTACAACCACAGCCCCTTCCTTAGGAATTTCCTACCCACTGGGCTAAACCAATTATTCTATAGGTTTTCTAGAGATGTGCTGCTGTTGTGAGAATTTTTTCTCCTCAGAAAACACGTCATTGTCCTCCTTCTATTTTTAGAGAGGCACTAGAAACCTTTTGATTCAGTCAAGCCTTTCATGATTGATTTTTACAACTTGCTGTCTTTCCCTTTGGTTTAAATGCCATGGGAACTCCAGGCCAGACTATTGTCTATTTAGTCCAATATTGTCTCCACCAACTTTACAGTCACAGGCAAAAATCCTTCATCTGCCCTCTAAGGGCTGACAATTTTTAGAGGATCTCAGGGTCAATTTTCCACTCCCAGGAGCCAGCCCTGGGCTGCTCTTGCCCCACCCCACCCCATGTGAGCAAATGTTATATATTTTTATTTATTTTCTGAAAATCAGCTTCTGATCACATTTTTGTAGAGCTCTGCACTCTGCCTGACTGCTAAAAGAGGGTGCATTTTGTAGACTTTATTTTCAGTGCAGGAGGGACATCCCTCCCCCAAGTCTTTTAACTTGAATTTATTATTTTTATTGAAGATGCTGGAGATTGAATTAGTGATTTTCTATACATGAAGCAGATTCCCATCTCTACTGACTTGCAATCCCATCCTGCTATTTCTTTATTCTTTTTAACATCTACATTAATGTTCTTATTCTTGAATGCCCTCCCTTTGTGCTTTGGATTTTTAAAAAACAAGGTATAAACAATTAATTCAGAAAACAAATAAAACTATATGTTCCATTGGCTAGCAGTGCTATCTTATGTCTTCACTTAAAAAGTTTTGTTGCTTCCAATGAGGCTTATTCCCTGGTCAGTATGTTTTCATGATCATAGTCTTCCTGCTGGGATATTATTAGTATGTTATTATTATGTAAATATCTTGAGCATTTTACACAAATTTAAATACTAAGATGTCTTTGCAATTCTCCTCATTTCTGTTCAACTCTATTATGGCATTATAATATTTTGATTGTAGCAATTTAATGTTCACTTTTGAATAAACCTTCTCCCCACAATTGTTCTTGAATTTTCTGTGTAATCTGCATCTTCTCAGTGAGAGTTCAGTTGGAAAAGGAAATCTTGGCTACTCTGTGTGTGTGTGTCTCTCTCTCTCTGCTTTTCCTCCTTCAGGATACTCCCTCACCCTCTCTTTTTTTCATATTTTTCAGTTATTATGGCTTCTAGCTTTCACCACCTTTCCCTTAATCCCTTCTGAAGCTTTTACCTTTCTGAAATGTAAACTGGGTCAAAAACTGACACATCTTCAGAAGTATTTTACTGTTTACCCCAAAGGATCAAACTGCTGATCCACCAACCTCCTGCAAACTGCTGATGGTCACTATGGAAGACAATCTGTAGTTAAAAATAACTACAACAATTTTATAATATAGATGGAAAGTGTGTCTCATTGTTGCTGTTCTGCACTGTCAAATAGTTTCTGACTTAATGGTGACCGTATGAATTAATTACCTCCGGAAGGTGCTATTAATAACAGCTCTGCTCAGATCTTGCAAACTAAAGACTATGGCTTGCTTTATTGAATCAGACAATCTCATTTTAGTTCCTTTTCCTACTGCCTTCCAATTTTCCCAGCATTATTGTCTTTTTCAGTGAATCTTGTATTCTCATGGTGTGCCCAAAGTACAATAACCTCAGTTTCGTTTCTAGAGAGAGCTGAGGCTTGATTTGATCTCAGACCCATTTATTTGTCTTTCTGACAGTTCATGGTATATTCAGAGCTTTTTAATGCCACATTTCAAATGAGCATTTCCCCCCTCATTTACTTTTTTGTCATCCAGCTTTCACATCCATACACAGTAGTGAGGAATACCATTATACTGATGGCCTAAAATATGATCAGTAATACAGTGGTGCCCCACTTGACAACAACCCCATTAGACGATGAAATCGCTTTACGATGACTTTTTTGCGATCGCTATAGCGATTGTAAAGGGACGTGGTGGCGCTGCGGGTTAAACCGCAGAAGCCTGTGCTGCAGGGTCAGAAGACCAAGCAGTCGTAAGATCGAATCCACGCGACGGAGTGAGCTCCTGTCGCTTGTCCCAGCTCCCACCACCCTAGCGGTTCGAAAGCATGCAGATGCAAGTAGATCAATAGGGACCACCTCGGTGGGAAGGTAACAATGTTCCGTGTCTAAGTCGCACTGGCCACCACGGAAGATTGTCTTCGGACAAAACGCTGGCTCTATGGCTTGGAAACGGGGATGAGCACCGCCCCCTAGAGTCGCACACGACTGGACAAAAATTGTCAAGGGGAACCTTTACCTTTACCTTTACCGCGATTGCAAAACAATGCTTCTGTGGGTTTTTTCGCTTTACGTCAATTTGGTCCCTGCTTCGGCAACCGTTTTTTAGCTGGATGACGATTAAAAACAGCTGATGGGCGGTTCGCAAAATGGCTCCCCGCTGTTTTCTGGACCGATTGTTTGCAAGACAGCGATTGAAAATGGCTTCCCCTATGGAGGATCTTTGCTGGACGATGAGGTATTTCCCCCATTGGAACACATTAACCGGTTTTCAATGCATTCCAGTGGGTTTTTTTCCGCTTGACGATGATTTCGCTTAACAGTGATTTTCCTGGAATGAATTATCGTCATCAAGCGGGGCACCATTGTATAATGTGGCTATAGTAATGTAGTGTAAGCACATAGAATGATAGACTAAGATGCAGGAGTTGTTATGTATCACCAAGTTGGATCAGACTCAACCCTAATAGGGCTTTCAAGTTAAGTGAGACATTTAAGGAATGACTTTACCAGTTGCAAACTTCCAGTGAGTTACCATGGCTCAGTGGCAATTAGAACCAAAGCCTTCTGAATCCCAGCCCAGAAGTTGTCAACCCCTGGTCCACGGCTCGGTGCCAGTCCATGGCCTGAGCTGGACCGGGCTGTGGAGACAGACCTCCCGCCCCCTGCACGCAATCCTCTCCCCACAGCGTGTGTCGGCGTGAGTGCTCCCCCACCCCTTCACACATGCGCCCAAGTGCCCGTGCAAAGGGGTGGGCAGGCACACGGAAGGGCATACAAGTGCTCCTGCGCATACGTGAAGGGTAGGCATGCATGCACATGCTCCCCCACTGCTTTGCGCATACGCCCGAGAACATGCGTGCATGTGCCAAAGAGCCCACGGTCCCAAAAAGGTTGGGGACCGCTGTCCTAGTCCATCACTCTATCCACTACATTGGGTATCCTATGGTGAAGGAGACCTCCATCCAAATCTCCATTCAGCCATGGAAATTCACTGGAACTGGTAAAGCCACTCCTTAAGTATCTCACTCACCTCAAAAATTCTATTGGGATTACCATAGGTTGAATAAAACCTGATGCCATCTAACAACAAAGTTTCCTTCTTGCTGAAAACTATGTCTGTTGATGAGCAGATACTTCCCAATATCATCTCAGTACTTCCTAGACATAAAGACTGCCCTATCGAAAAAGTTCCAGTTCTTGAAGGTACAAATATTTCTGAAAGGAAAGCCAATTATGCTCCCAAAATGCTTGTAAAATTGCCCTCCACCCTTTTCTTCTTGTTGAGGAAAATCCTCTGACCAGTCTGGGGTCAAATGAAAGTCACATGTAGTTCTGTCTTGGCTCTTGATATACAGGTGTCCTATGGGCAGTAAGCAAAGCTAGTCATCCAGGCCAGTCCAAGATATTTTGCTGACCTAGGCAAAGTATCTACTGACACCATGTATTCACACAAGTCAGGGTGCATAGTATCCAAAGCCAGTATAAAAATTTGTGCAATAAAACAGAAAATCCCACAAGCACCTTTCTCTAGCAATTACAACACAGGAGAAATAAAAAAGCATAAATGACAAAATAAGTAAGAACATCTGCCTATTCGTGGCACGCAAAGCTGCACTATGGCAAATGATAAAAGCTGTCCCAAGCTAGCTATACAATTATTGTTATCTCAAAACAATGTCACTTATATCTGGAAGTTGAGTCATGGCAAGTGGACTTATTTCTTATTAGGTTGAAATGTTTAACTAAGCAGCTTCTTCAGTCTGAAGAGAGTTAGTAGGAGACCCCTACGAACTAACATCTTCCATGTTGGTTTAACATCCCCCTGATCTGAATAGGCTTATTAGATGGTTAGATGGACAAAGGACCGGGGAGTGAGTTGAAATCCCACTTCTGCAATCCTTCTCCACCTATTGTCATGGGCCATTAACAGTTGTTAATAGTGGTCTTTCTGGTGTGTGTGGTCCTGATCTTTCTGGGGATGAATGAAAGGGCAGCATGATAAATAGGAGACAGATTGTGTCTAAGGCCTCCATCCCTGCTGAGTGAGGGATTTTCTATATGGACATGTATGGCCTCCCTGACTCCTCTCTCAAATCACCTATCTTCTCAGTCCAAAATGAGCACATCTTGGTCATTAAATGAGCGTCCAAGTCAATTCTCTTGTCCTTTAAATGCAAATAACCCACAAACTAGGCATTAATCATCGCTCTCATTAATCCATTGTGCTAAAACTCTGCACAATTCAAGATGGCAGAGACTATTTCTTATTATTTATATCAGCACTCATTAAAATCCTCTTAGTCCCAGTTCATACTGCTAAAGGAGTCTCACTAAGCCGTCGGGAACCTACAATGATGGTCTAAAAACAACTATTAATTCCAACTGGATAATTCCAACTCTTTATTTATTAATATCAAAAGAACCACTGTCCAATGAATAGAATGCAACAGAGTGCAAGATATTGTAAAGCTTAGAAAAGTATCTTGGATAATTTTTACCCACTAATGGGCAGCATCAAGGGCATTTGGAGCAACTAACATTGGATCTTCTATAGTACAGTGGTGCCCCGCATAGCGACGTTAATCCGTTCCGGATTAATCGCCGCTATCCGGAAACATCGCTATACAGATGGAAAAACCACATAGGAACGCATTAAACTTTGTTTAAAGCATTCCTATGGGGGGGAAACTTACCGCTAAGTGGGAATCCTCCATCCAGCCGCCATTTTCGCCGCCTCAGTAAGCGAGGAAATTGCGCGAAAATGCTTTCGACAGCCATTTTGTGCACCCGGCGGCCATTTTGGAACCGCCGATCAGCTGTTCTGAAAACATCGCAATGCGAAGATTGGTAAGCGAAACGCTTACCAGTCATCGCAATGTGATGTTTACCCTATCTAACCATCGCAATGCGATTGCATTAGCAATCCCCCAAAATAGATCGGTGCACTCATTATGCAAGGCACCATTGTACATGTTTGGGAGCATACACTGACATAGGTGTGACATTGCCAGTTCTTCAGTATCCATGGAGTGCAACCCGCTTTATTTCTTGCATGGAGTACTTCTTCCATTGACAAATGGGAAATGAAAAAGATATGAATATTTAGGATTAAATTTGGGGTGAGGGTAATTTAATAAACGATTGGGAGATACGATAGACTTCCATGTGTATAAATTAAGTGGATTAACACAGAGATTGTGACTAAAAAGACTTTGTTGTTGTCTCCACTATTGTTCTGACATATGAACTGGCTGGCAAGGATCCCCCAGATGGTTTGAAAGCACATTCAATCAACGTTCACAGCACTGTTGAGGGGCCTTGATGTTCCGGACATTTGCAGAGCAGCAACTTGGTCCCCTGCATCCACTTTTGTTACGCATTACTGACTGAAACTCAGGGCGAAAAAGGAAGCAAGCTTCGGGAGAGCAGTTCTGACATCGGTCTTGGAGTGACGGCCCTCCTTCCGGTAAGCGAGCTTGCTAGTCACCCAGTTGTGTGCCAGCAGCCAGGTGGGCGGAGCACGCTCTTTAGGAGCAACTCACAACTAATTTTACTTTTTAAAAGCTCTAGAATATTCCAAGGAGTCCTATGCTGGAGGAGACTGAAACCTGTTGTGTGAATTCAGAGAGTTTCACTTGAAGAACCATGGTTAATGGTAAGTACCCTCTCTGTCTGTCAGCAGAGGTACTCTACTGCATATATCATCAACATTTTTCCGACCGCGATCCGGCTGAGCCTCTTAGGGAGGCAGGGCACCCCCTCACACTTCAACTCTTGCACGTATGTGCGAAGTGTGGGGAGAATGTGTGTGCCTCTAGTGGGAGCACGCTCGGCTACCACTTCACCCATGCCGGGTGGCTGGCATCCAGAGCATGTGGCCATCCTCAGCCTCCCAGACTTTAGCCACCTCCACTGCCAGGGCCGCCGGGAGGCCAGTATCCGGAGCACCCGGCCATGTTCAGCCTCCCAGCCGTTAGCCAATGCCACCGCCAGAGATGCGGGGAAGCTAGCATCAGGAGCACCCAGCCATGGTCAGCCTCCCAGCACTTCAGAACCCCCTTTGCTGTCCATGCCACCGGGGAGCCAGCATCTGGAGCACCCGGCCATGGTCAGCATAACAGATCTCGACAACCTCCTTTGGTGCCGATGCCAACTGGAGGCCAGCATCTGGAGCCCCCGATCATTCTCAGCCTCCTGGTTCTTGACCACACCCGCTGCCTCTACTAGGAGGCCAGCATCCTTAGCACTCGCCTATGGTCAGCCTTGCAGCTCTTGGCAACCTCCTTTGCAGCCCATGCCGCCTGGAAGCCAGCATCTGCAGCATCTGCCCATGGTCAGCATAACAGTTCTTGACAACCCTCTTTGGTGCTGATGCCACCAGGAGGCCAGCATCTGGAGCCCCCGGTCATGCTCAGCCTCCTGGTTCTTGACCA